AAATTTTAAAGTCTCAGAAAATGTTATAAGGCTTTCACTGATCATGGAATGAAATTGCGATGCTATGATTGTGGAACAATGCTTAATCTTCAAACTTGTTTCCCCGAGAAAAGGTTTTCTTTGTTTCTAACGGAAAATTGCTGTTTCCTAATATTTTGCTTAGTTTTAAGAATGCATCTTTCACTATTCCAATAAGCGTTGGATTTCGGTGTCATATTTTCTATCCTTGTTAAAATACTCTTCCCAAATATTTAAACTTCTGTACTTGTTTGATTTTGACACCTCCAAGACATAGTAAAGAAGAAAAACAATTTTATGACTGAATACAAATAATATACATTTCTTGGAACTTTCTGTTGTCTTGATGTATGTTTGTTCTATGAATGAGACCTCTTGCTTTAGGCATCTATTGGGGAAAACATCGATAAAGAAAATGATCGGATTATTCTGCGTCACCAGAAAGTACCTGTACATCTTCTATAATCTGTTTCCAAAACTCAGACGAAAATGGAGTATTGCTGCTTCCATAGCTGGATTTCAACTGCCCAAACCTCACTTTAAAGTCTTGACAAAGTTCAAATGCCATTACACGAGCTTATCCATGATGTATTGCTTTCCAAGCAACAAAGCCTTTCTCATAGACGAAACGTTGCTCTCGTCTTTCTACTCTATTTCTATTTCAATGGCAAATGTTAATAAAGGAGCTATTTATTCCTTAGTTCCACCACAACTTGTACGAGCCATGCTAAGTTATATATTTTATTCGGTCGAACAAGCTCGAACATCCATGAGTCTATTACGTCAACCATCAGGGTCCTACTTCAAGATCAGAATGTTATCAGGGTTGCATTCTGTGCCATAATGCTGGTCAATGTAGAAGGTTGCTGGGCGACCAACCTGTCTTGCTCCAGGGCTAGTTTTCCAGAGCAGTAGATCACTCGCTAGTTCTTGTTTTGCTCGTCAACAATGTCCTGCAAAGCGCATTCTATGTTCGCATAAGATTGTAGAAATATCAGGGATGGGTCCATAGAGTTGTGATTGATGTTGTCTCCAAAAGATGTTAAACATTGAGTCAATTCATCCTTATTTGTTTTGTATTCCATTTGTAAGCAGGAAGTTTCACTCAGCCAGCTTCTCCCGCAGAACTGTTACTTTGTAGGACAGTTCCTCGAGTAAGTGCTTCCCTAATCACTACAGATAATTTCTTCAGCCCTTGGGTCAATCGTTATCTGTCCTACACGTCTTCATAATATGCACTTAGTTCATTCTTTTACGTCCTAACAACACTCTCATTAAGGACTATCTTGAATGGAACTAGAGTATTTTATTTGGAGAGCAATAGTATAAGTATATAATAGTATACAGTATGCACAGCGGAGTAATGGATAGAGGCTCGGATTGAGAAATCTGTAGAGGCGAGTTCGAATTCCAGTCGAAACTTACGTACTAATACCCTTGGGAAAGGTATGAATCCTCTTCTTCTCTCCGCAGCTATGGGTAAATGGCAGGACAGACCGGCTTCATCTTTGAATGGTCTACCGCAGAAATAAATGGCAACCAACTGCGGGGAAAAAATCTACCTCGTCATTCATGTATCGAAAAATACATGATCGCCTACGCCTATATCACGCATGGTACACAACTGACTGAATAATATAAAAAGGTAATTTTGAGAAAATAAATGCTGGAAAATTTTGCATCAGACTCATAGAAATGAAATAGTTTTGTCCTGATTTTAATCACATATTAACGACCTTACTCTTCAAAATAGAGTGCCTTTTTATCACGACATATTTAGTATTGTCGTTCGTATTTATCCAGTAATAATATACAAATAGCAGGGTTTGAAATTAATCATCCGTCTAAAAGCGATCTGTTTTTGGCACTTATTCATGTCCAGGTTCATCTGAATTCCTCGTCCTATATTGAATCAAATATTGATTTAGTGCCGATGCTCTGACACTCCATGTAAAAGACTAAATATAGCTGGAAGCTGTAATCAGTGTAAAGTAAAGCAACCGCTGGAATTTCATTAATGCTAACAATGACGAGACACGCTGGCTGTACGTCAAAAAGCTTTGCCAAATATAATGAGTCTCAGAATAACAATAGAAAAATCAATAAAGATCGAGGGAAAATTAACAACACTTATGAATTCTCTTATGAAAACAATGCACATAGATTTCACTGCTTCAAATGTCAGCATTGTCTTATAAAAATCATTGTCTTTGAGTTGAGACCGTAAAACATTAAAACATGTATTTTCATTTGAAATCGTTATCTTAAGATTTTCCTTGTTAATTATTGATTAAACAATACACAACAGAAATATCTGCTGGAGTTTGGGATCCGCTTCCTCGCTTTTGTTAAAATAGCGAACAATTTCGTGTAAAACACACACAGACAAGGAATAAATCTTGTAAAAGACAAGCGACAATGGTTTAACATATTGAATGCAGGCAACACCAAACAAATATCTAACTGACCAGTTCGGAGTATTTTAGTTTCCATGCGATATCAGAGCAGATGATCCAACAGGATCCACGCTTACGGCCATATCACGTTGAAATATATGTTCTCGTACGATCAGCGAAGTTAAGCAACGTCGAACCTGGTGAGGTCTTGGGAATATCAGATGCCGTAAGTGTGGTATAATGTATAACGGCTCTGAATTGGAAATCGGAGTTGGGTTCGTTTTATATATTTATGCGTTATAGTCACTTACTCTTGGGAAAAGTGTGAATCTAACTCTTCTCCCTCCAGCTATGGGTTAATTAGTAGGACTTGTATCTGTAAATCATTATTATTTAAAACAAATTCCTACAATCCACAAATATTTTCTTGCTTTAAATAATCTTGCCTAGATATGGCAACAAGACAAGTAGAAGGAAAACTCTGAATTCAAAACCAGCTTGTTGCTATAGCGATTGAAGCCTGTAGTTCTTGGTGAAGTCCATCCTTAGAACATCATGGACTGGCGCTACATGATCACAAAGAATTGTACCAAATAACAGAAACCATATGATTTGAGAACTTTTAACAACAGTAACAACTAAATTGTATAAAACACATCAGAAAATAATGACATAATAAAGTTCCACGCTACTTCAAACAAAAAGTTAGGAAGGAACCCCCTGGAAAAAGTTAAGCCTATTTTGCTGAAAACTGTTAGAATTTTTTTATAAATTTCAGCCCATCGTAGCATTGGCTGCTCGACCAATGAATACCAAATGTTTCGGTGTAAAAAAAATGAAAAATAAAAAAAAAATGGCTAATATTACCATATTTCTCTTGGTCGATGAATGCTGCGAATCGAGAATATTTCAAGGTTTTTTTTCATTTCACATCTAGCAAGGCTGAAATGCTACTAGTATGCAGAGGGGGGCACAAGGATTTTAAGTGAAAGAGAAGACTGAAAATAGAGAGGACTGAAGAAAAAACAAAAGATGAAAGGGATTCAAGAAGATAGAAGATGGCAATTGATGTTGCAATGAAATTTTTGATGATTGTAATTATCAGAGAAGCAAGTAAACTGAAGGGAGTTCCACAGGTGGGAAATTCGAAAAAAGAAGCTGTTGGAGTAGAAGAGGCTGTTGTATTTAGCTATTTCACTAGTAAAATTTTGAGACATCGATGTCAAACTAGTACTACGCTTTAATTCATGTTGGCACCAGGAAAAAATAAACCTCGTCAGAAAAGTTGCCATGGAATTTTTGTAGAAAATACAAAAGGAAGCCACGTCACGTCTGTGAGAAAGTGACTGATTTCAAAATGACAGACCAAGATCGATTAAATTACAGTTCCTTCTCTGGATTTTCTCAAAAATCTCACGATTTACATCAGGAGCACGAGACCAGCTATGACAACTGTATTTTCTTCCCTGGGTCTATTTCTTTTGCCGTTTCTCGTTTTATCCCAACTTTTCAATTTTGTCTCTTGTCACAGAGCTAGCTGAAATATCTTGGACACATAGTGAGGAAAAAAGGCTTGGAGAATTTGATATTCACAGGACGTATCGAAAGCAAAAGGGACAGGGGAAAACAGTCGGTCACCTACCTAACGGACTGGTGTGAATATATTGCTGAACGGTGTTGGAAGAGCAATAATCACCCACGCTCTGACGGAGGTGATGGAGAGCCATGATCACCCACGCCCTGAAGGTGAACGGCACAGAAACAAAGAAGATTTACAATCACATTTTCCCTTTCTCACTCAGTTCTGATCTTTGCGTTTGTTATCTCTTCTCTCGTTCATTTGTAGCTTAATTACATTTTCCAATTCTGCTATTCCTATTTTCTACGCCATTTTCGTTATTCCGCTAAACCTGAAATCTGTTCTTGTTTTCTCTTTATTAGAACCATTTTTTCTCTCCATTGACACTGCATGATATATTCCAATATTAAATTTGTTTAAGATAGTTATATATTTAACGGTGCTGGTATTGACAGCGATTTTGAAGTCAGTTACTTTTTATTCTCATATTTGTTTCCCCATTTCAGTTTTTAAAATTCCATTCATTGCTTCTTCGTTATAGAAAAAAATGTATCCATAATTTTTACTTTATGTCTTTTTTTAACATTTATCGTTTAACATTTAAGCTAACATTTCGCTTCTATTCTCTATTGAAAAATTTTCCACGCATGATTCTCCATCTTTTTGTGTCTTTTGTAGCAACTTTTACTATCTATGCTGTACTGAGAAGATCTAAAAGAAATGTCGCTACAAAGGACACACTTCTTATTTGTGCCCTGTTCCTTCAAATCGTTTGTGATAATAGCTCTCCACAACTACCTAACCTATGTATCTCTTAGTAAAGCTTATTTTTTCCTTATTCCTCCTAATCCCTGATCTGCCCTCCCAATCCCTTTTCCGAATCCCGGATATTCCCTCCCAATCCCTGTTCTCAATCCCTGTTCTGCTCTCCTAATCCCTGTTTCCATATTTCTCCCAATCCCTGTTCCGAATCCCTGTTCTTCCCTCCCAATTCCTGTTCTCAATCCATGTTCTTCCCTACCAATCCCTGTTTCCATATTACGCCCAATCACTGTTCTTCCCTCCCAATCCCTATTCTGCCATACCAATTCCTGTTCCTAATCCCTGTTCTGCCTTGTTAATCCCTGTTCTGCTCTCCTAATCCCTGTTTTCATATTCCTCCCAGTCAGTGTTCTATCCTCCCAATCCCTGTTCCCAATCCCTGTTCTTCGCTCCCAATTCCTGTTCTCAATCCATGTTCTTCCCTCCCAATCCCTGTTTCCATATTCCTCCCAATCACTGTTCTACCCTCCCAATCCCTGTTCCCAATCCCTACTCTGCCCTCCTAATTCCTGTTCCCAATCCCTGTTCTGCCTTCCTAATCCCTGTTATGCTCTCCCAATCCATGTTTCCATATTCCTCCCAGTCCCTGTTCTATCCTCGCAATCCCTGTTCTCCCCTCCCAATTCCTGTTCACAATACTTGTTCTGCCCGCCCAATCCCTGTTCCCAATCCTTTTTTTGCCATCCATTTATACATGCTAGCTCTGTTTCTGTCACCGTGAGGGTCAAATTCTCCAAGCCTGCTTTCCTTATTAGGTGTCTTATTAATTTCAGCCATATCTTTCTTATTCTAAGCATAAGTATTCTTTTTCTTTAGATTTTCATTAAACTTCTTCGTTACTCACATGTTCAATCCATGGGATTTTCAGCATCTTTTTGTAGAATCATATCTCTGTTGCCTCATCATCTGTGCATTACCTCCAATCAGTTGTTAAACGAGGAAATAAATGGTTTTGCAAATGCTAACACCTCTAAAACGAAACCGCTAATAACCATAGAGAAACATTTTGCCCTCTATCAGCATGGCCGATGTTTACCCCCCCCCCCATGAAAGCAGCACATTTCGCCTTCTTGATCTCATTTTATCTACTGACATGAAGTGGAGTAATTATATTGAATCAATTGCTAGCTATGCTGCGTGGAGATTTACTTCATTGTTTCAGGCTATCTTCCACATTTATAAATCTATCATTTGTTCATGCATTGAAAATTCTGCCATACCTGGTCTGCATCTCCTGTTATAAGGGGGGTCTTTCATTAAGACGGATCAAAGTTAGCAGTAAATAAATCAGTTCTATTGGTGAAAATTTATAATATCGCACAAATGTCCGCCAAGATTTCGGCGGCACACCTCCACTTGATGGTCAACATTTTTTGATGACATCTCTGCATAGTTTCTCCTCAATCTCACCAATATGTCTTATTATCTCATCCTTCAGCAGTTGAATTGTTGTAGGCTTGTTGGCATAGAACTTATTTTTGAGATGACCCCAAAGGCGTCAAGACGCACGATCGTGGTGGCCAATTGACTTCGCTGTTTCGAGAGATGATGCGACCTGAGAAATTCCATTTAAATTCTGTTTGAACGCCCATCTTCGTAATAGGCTTCGATAACTTTAACACGTTGTTTGATTGTTAATCTTTCCATGGTTGAAATTGCCAAAGATTTAAGTTGTTAAATCTGAAAAAAAAAATCATTAGCACTTAAAATAATTCACATTTTAAATCGGTCTAAGTTATCGGAACATCCTTTATATCCCGAGATTCTCGATAAAATTCAAAGAAGAATTTGTAATATTACCATCTGACCTGCATCTTGACTTCAGTGACATTCCTACATGGCTTATGTATGTCTTTTTTTGTAAATGTTTTCCTGGCATGTTCTACTAAGCTCACTTACTTGGTATCTCGACCGCTAGATTGGCAACTAGGTCATATCGTTTTACTGTTAATATAGTTAGATGCAGCCGTAAATTCTATTCTAATAGGTTCTTTCTCGCACTTTCCGCTTGAGAAATTCTCTCACTGTTTCTTAATTTCATGGCACCTGCAATCTTCAAATATCTAAATGCGACGTCAATAGCCATCATCTGTTTTTCGGAATTATGTACTATTTGGCCCTTTCTATTCACAAGTGTTCTCATTCTCTTGTCCCCACAGTAATTAACATGCGTCTCAGTGGCTTTAAACCCTTGCTTGGAGTGAAATGATTATATGAAAAAAAGTGTATGGGAATAGCGTGTTGAAAAAAACTCTGATGGAAAAAGTGATTAAATGAAATGGTTAATTGCAACGAAAGAAAACACCTGATTAAGACTTTCAGTTTGGAACTGGTGAAAGTCGAAAGCTATATTCCTAATATAAAAGGGTGGGTATACGAGAGAATCTTTGAATGAACGAACGATGAACATTATAGGAATATTTTCCTTTTTACTCAAAATACATGTACCCAACTTCAGAAAATAAAGAAATATACTTATCCAGTAGCCTCAGATAGACAACCAGCTTCTGGGCATTAGTTTTTTTTTTTTTAAAGCCTACGTGACAATTTCAATGTCCGACGACTTTATAAACAGAAAGCTCCACACATGCAGTCATGGGAAGAAAGCCGCCTCAGCCAAGTAAGGTCCGTTTTGTTCTCTGGTCGTTAGTCAGTTTTCACTGAAGTTAAAAGAACGGAGTTGAGTTAAAAAGGAAGAAACTGATTTGAAAGAAAGAATGAAGACGTATGCCGAAGTCGCTACTATTTTTATATTGATTGTTCATAGTAAAAAGCCTGAAAGAGAGAAAAGTTTTGTGGAGAGACTAGCGATCGCCCTAGCTACAAAAGAATGAGGAAAGCAGACGAAATAATGTAGTAATTATGTAATAATAAATGGTCGTTTGTCATTATCAGACCGGCCTTGTAATTTGAATTAGTTTTCAGCTAAAAGGTTTACCACGCGCCTGCCGCTTATTTAATTCGACAGATAAACTAAACAAAACAAGACTTCCAACGGAGCAAAGAGATGGCGTGGCTAGTTATAACCTAACTGGAACAGATTGCGGCTAGCGCGGAGTTATTAAAGTCGGTAGTCGGTCTTACAGACTGGAATAATATGAAATTCTTAAAACCATTTTAATATAGAAATAAAAAAAACAGACATGCAACTGAGATTTTCCGATATATAGAATAAAAAACAAATGAAAATGAAAAAGATGCATTCACTTTCTATTTCCGTTTGCTGTGAAATGGCTTGTCAAGTTGTTTCTTTCTCACCCCAAGTAAGGCAATAAGACCACTAAGACACAAGGAGTTACTGAGTATGAAAGAATAAGAAAAACAAATCCATTTTTAGTGAGTGAGAAACAGTCGATAACGGTTGTCATGGTATTTAAATTTTTGAAGATCAAATTTGGTTAAAAAAAAACTGAAAGAGAAATCCACAGGCGAGAAGTACTCGAATAATGCAGTTGCTTGTATGTTGCATGCTCAAGAGTAAGAAATCCTAAGAATTTATTCTTGTAAAATAAAATGGAAAAAGAAATATTCTGAAAAAATATTGTTTAGCATGAATTGCTACAAAATTAAATTAAATTAAAAAAAAAATGATTAAACCGTAAAGTAGTTTTTTGTCAAAGTATTTTTCCAAACAATTCAGCTTATTCAAATTTCATCGATTGGTTTGCGAAATTGAACGAAACGTAAAGTCTGTAAATCTCGACAAAAATGTTAGCGCTATTTCATCCATACTAAATACTGTGAAGTATTCAACACACTTCAGCATGTTGCAAAAAAGTCTAGTTATAAAAAGTTCTAAGATTTAAACATTCGGAAAAAAAAAACGTTATATATTTGAAACGCAATGGCACAAACTAAAACATTCCTTTCATTGCTTTTCTGTTTCAAAGTCAAATAAATATGATTATCATATTGATATCATTTCAGTTTAGGAAACTAGAAGTTATAACATCTAGAAGATTAAAATCTTTACTTTATAAAAACTTGTGGGGCTTTATGTTGCAGTCTATACTAACCAAAAGGATTAATCCAGTCCTGCAACATGAGTTAAACGGATGCTTACTACTATTTTATAATTAGTTTTTATTTTAGAGAGTATCTTTTGCATGATCTCATTACTGTCTCAGCTTCACTTATATTTCTCCGCTGCTCGCTATGTTATTTTTGACCAAAAATCCTCAGCCACTAAAACTGTTACTGTCATATATAATAAAGGAGATCATTATTTTCAGCACAAAAGGTTTTCCTCTCCTTTTCTGTGTTTCTCTCCTTTTCTGTGTTACTCTCCTTTTCTGTGTTACTCTCCTTTTTATTCAACCTGCCACCTACCAGGTGAGTCAATTTAAAGTCTGCAACAATGGTATGAAATTTTCAGCTTCTTGATTTTGTTTAATGTCCATTTCTTTCCCTATCTTAATATCTCCTCGCCAGCTGCGACACATTGCTCACGGGCAAATGAGGCAATGTAGTTGGGCGTTTGTGAGAAGATAATTCAGCAGGAATGCCACGACATAGCTTCACCGTTAAGGAAGATAGTGTCTGAACCTGCCCTTTGTTAATATATTCTGATGAATAATGTATTTGGTTAATGTTATTCAGAATCAGAGAAAACTAGCGATCCATCAACTGATATTAACAATAGTATCTATTCTCGGTCAGTTGAGACATAGATGTGCGTAACTTTTAAGGTAATATATATATATATATATATATATATATATATATATAGAGAGAGAGAGAGAGAGAGAGAGAGCGAGAGAGAGAGCGAGCGAGCGAGCACGGTGGAGTAATGGACAGAGGCTTGGATCTCGGAATCGGAGATCCGAGTTCGAATTCCAGTCGAATCCATTACATGCTAATACGCTTGGGAAAGATGTGAATCCTCTTCTTCTCCCTCTAGCTATCGGTAAATAGCAGGACAGACTGGGTTCTATAGCCTTGGATGGCAACTGGTCTGGGAGAAGGACAACTCTGAATTCAAAATCTGCGGAGGGTCCTTTGGGTCTCTGTATTCGGCCCTTCAAAAAGTGTGGATGGACTTGCACGTAAACTTCCCCACGATAATCAAATCTCATGTGCTGTTGTCGGGCTGTCGGTTTCCCAGGAACTGATCTCCTTGACCCTTATACGTCGAATTCGACGAGAGAGTCGTATATATATATATATATATATATATATATATATATATAATGCTAATACTGCAAGACTCTTCGCTAAAACGAATCGAGTTCTCTCAGTCACTGTGTAGTTAAATAAAAATAAATACGCTTAAATTCACCTTCATCCTTGCCGTGCGCCAGGAGTAGAAGCTCCGACTGACACTAATTCAGCCGGTTTTCGATCCTAGCTAGAGGCAATCGGACGTCTAGTGACACTGATGAGCTGTGATAGAGCGAAACTGTCTGTAGATGACAATATATATATATATATATATATATATATATATGTGTGTGTGTGTGTATATGTGTGTGTGTGTGTGTGTAGAAATTCATATCCAGATATAACTAAAAATATATCTTTCCAGTCTCAATAGGTTCCGAAAGCGAGTAACTCTTTTACGCCCTACAACCCCTTGTTGTAAACCTCTTGCTATTTCTATGGAAAATGTTTTAACGAACTACATTCCTTTCTTTCCCCAGTTCTAACCTTAGCATCCAAGACCCACCATGCCAGGCACATTGTGGCGAACAACCCTCATTCCATTCATAAGTTCCACTCGAAGTTCCCACGAACCGCAACTTTGTGGCACCTACTCCCATGATGCTTTTCCGATTACTAAAATCTTAACCTATTCAAGTATAGGGTTCATCAGTTACCCTCTACACCGAGTAGCTCTTTGGCCTTGTATATTCTGAGCAATACGCAGACACACACACACACACATATATATATATATATATATAGATAGATACGCCTAGTGAGCCAAACAAACCGACCTAGGTTTCATCTAAACGGATCGTCAGGGAAATTTGGCCGAATCTCCCTGACGATCCGTTTAGGTGAAACCTGGGTAGGTTTGTCTGGCTCACTAGGTTTATCTAGGTCTGCGCTACGGTTGTATTGAGCTCTTTTGTTAGTTAGTTGTTTACTCGTGTCGGGGTTTTTTCTTTGCGCTTCAAACCTGTATCTGTGCGATTTTTTTCGACAGACTTTCATGTTTGTAGCTCTTTCTTTTTTTTAAAACCTTTTTTCCCTCGAGATTGATTTGATTCGTGGCAAATCAAAAATTCGAGGGTTTTTCGAAACGAGCATAGTTATCTATATCTATATATATATATTTAGACACATACATACATACATACCGATTGTAACAGCAAAAGTATTCAAATCGTGTCCAATTCTTAGATTAAGCTGTAAACCGCTGTATTTTAGAAATGATTAAATATATCATACTTGAATTCTCCGAGGTTTTTATAGCACAATTGGACGTTACTTTGAGCAACAGGAATGTATAATTAATCACCATGCTTAGCAGAATAATAATGATGAAATCGATCATAAACGAAAATGACATGTTTATCATTAATTAGTCATAGCTAAGGATCGGAAGCTCATGAAGGATTAATATATATTTCAAAGGCAAATATATTATTCCAGAATCATTTTCCAAATTATTTAAGGTGATCTTTGGCCTCGAACCTACTGGGCTTCTGTCCTGTCAAGGTGTCTCACAGGTTTCACGCATGATTTCATTTTCAAGTCTTTTATACTGCTCTTTGAACTGTCATAGCTGAATCTCCTCTGTCTCGTGTCAAACGTCTTATGGATTAAGTTAGATCTTTTCTAATAGATCTCTTTAGTTCTGAGTTGAAACGATGATCCCCTCTCCTAGTTGTGACCTCCCCCCGATTCAATTTTCATCTCTACTGTTCCCTCTTTTTTAAACTAATTCACCGTTCTCTTGATAGTTCTTGAATGGACTTTGAAGATGGAAGCCAGAGTATAAATGCTGGTACCATTAGAGGTCTGAATGATTTTTCTCCTCTCACCATTGTTCGTTTGAGAAGACAGTGGCGCTGACAGAAAAGGATTTTAAGCTGTTCTCTTTTTCGCTGAATAACTGAAAGGAAGTTACGGAATATCATATCGAGATATCGTGTCAAGATGGCTAACCATCTTATCTGAAAACCTGTAGAATAACATCTCAATCAGTTTAGTGGTTTTTTAGATTTTAAACATTTTTTTTAGGATGGACAATTATGCAGTTACACGTTTGGACAATTTTGCTGATACACCCTGTATATATATATATATATATATATATATATATATATATATATATATATATATATATATATATATACGAGGTGTGTCAGAAACGTAACAAAACGTAGTGTGCTGCTTGAGCTATGAGTGGGGTAGTGATTAGGGAGTTGCGTCAACGTGTGACGTAATATCCTGGAAGAACCGGAAGTCACTGTGTACTTTACTAATATTTTTTTTATATTTCAGATTCCACCCCAGACGTCGAATTGTTGACCCTATTTTCTTTATGATTACAAACAGTGGGCGCTATTGTTCATTGTTCGGATATTCTTCCCACTTTCATCGATCAGATAAGTGAGGAAATCAAGGACTCTTCGTTTCAACAGGGTGGTACTACTGCCAACATATATTACAAGTCTATGCAGTTTTCGGAGAAAACTTTTGCATACCGCATTATTTCCAAAGACGTGTGACTCCCTTTTCGCAACTCTCACCAGTTCTAAATCCACCCGACTTTTATCGATAGGCAGCATCAAAATCTGTAGTGTGTCGAGATCGTCCACTCAAACTGGATGTCTTCAAAGTAGCGATAATGACATTCATTCCGTCTATTTCAGACGAGTAACTGACAGCGGTGTTCAGAAATAAAATAAGAAGGATCCAAGCTTATGTTGATACTAACAGGCGTCAATTTCAACAGTGTTTATAAATTTTATTCATATTCTCCTCCTGTATTTTATGGTGAGACATATCTGTATAAATATAAGTTCATAGTGATTTTCCGAACTGCCTGTATATAACTATAATTTCAGCTCTCTGTCGCCATTTAGTTTTTTTTTTAAGTTTTGTTTTTATTAACAGTTCCTCAAATTTAGGCCGCCAAACGATGGGCACAAAGCAACGAACCAACGTGAAGTTTCTGGTCCGTCTGGAGAAAACTCCATCGGAAGCACTCAAACTACTGCAGCAAGTGTACGGGGAGGAGACAATGTCGCGCTCCTGGGTTTTCGAGTGGCACAAGAGGATCTGTGGAACATGAGGACATGGAAGACGACCCGAGTAGCGTAAGGCCATCGACTGAGACCAACGTTGCTCTCGTACATATATATATATATATATATATATATATATATATATATATATATATATATATATATATATTCATTCAAAATATATACCACTTCAAATATTTTTTTTGAAACGCATGTTTTTGTAAACGCCCCTTTTTTTAAACAGTATGAATTACCCCTATACATTCGAGAGACTTAATAAAGGTGTGCTCTCCGGTGGGGTTCGAACTTATATATCTCCTTTGAGGGAAAAATTACCATTTAATCCGGTGTCTCTTCAAGATTAGGTATCCACAGAATAATGTTTGGAGTAGAAAGAAATAATATCAGATAAAAAATCCTTTTGTTTTTTTTTAATAGATAATGTGTTTGTGTTTACATATAGATCTCCTCTGATAATCTTAATCATATTTTTATCTCTCGGCGCCTTCCCTATTATCTTTGTAATTATTTCTTCAGGGTAATTATTTTTTTTTCCTCTGGCTCTAAAGGCTATACTAATCTGTCTTGTTTGGAACATTCATAAAAGCAGAGCTTTCCTATCTAAAGAAATATAGTTTCCTAAATATAATGATGTATATAATAATGAGAATAATATCGAAATAGTTTATTACTTTTAGTTATCGGGACTAAATTGTGAAATATAATAAAATACAACCAATTATCAAAGATTAAAACCTATAATCGAATTTACAAAAATTATTAACCAGAAAGTTTCTCTTCGGCCAGGTTAACGTGTTGACAACGATTGAAACAGAATTGTGTGTTTATATTACTTGACATTATACTATTAATTCAACCTGGTCAATATAGGAGTGAATTATTGCTTGAAGTTTTAGAATGAAAAAATTCGCTCAGAAGTTTCTAATTGTTCTTTTGAAAGATGAAAAACATTTTCGCAAAATGCCGAAAGGATCCACATCGTGATTACAACCGATTCGAGAACACGGCAGATGTGGTGATATTGTCGAGGAAGCTAATAAAAGCTTCAAAATTACGCCTCCACTAGCAATTCTTGACTACAAGGAATCACGGAAGTTAATGCAATTCTGTTCAGGGAGAACCCCACTTTTTGTCTACATTTCCCTTTATAAAGCTTTAAAACTGACTTTTCCCTCGAACATCGGTCCAATTTCCCTAGAGATGGTACTAGGTCTGAGATAAACCGGTAGTGGAGAAGCGATAAGAGATGTTGTTGGCTTCCTTTCTCCATCCATATCAACTCTTATAGGACGTAATAATTACTTTTATATGAGAAACTAAAAAAAAAAAGTATCCGAGTCACAACCATCCCCACTCATTTGAACAGCAGCAGAGGTTTATTCCTTGTTTCCTGTTTTGGACTATGTTCCCAGTTCCTTTTAAAGTTTTCTTTTACGTGTAGTAGACCTCGTGTCTTAGGGGCATTATCACCCTGCTTGGGGGTAATTGATTATATATATATATATATAATTGATTTAAAATATGTTTTTTTTTCGCTACACAGTTTTAACAATGTTTCAAAAATGGAAGCTGAAAGCTCCGAATTTAATTTTCTAATTAAATTAAAGACATTAGTTCCATTTCATCCTCAAGCGAATGCAATTTGATATTGATAATTATTACCAATCAATATCTAAAGAACTATTTATGAATGCGTTGGACTTTGCCACCCACTATACGGATATTACAGATGAAGAAAAGAACATTATTCTATATGCGAAAAAATAGGTACTGATACATAAAGGTGAGCAATGGATTAAGAATTCTTATGACCACTTTGTCATCACAATGGAATCACTAGACACAGCTGAGTCTTCCGATCTCATAGGTCTTTTTATATTATACAACCTTACAGCGCACCGTGATATTAATATAACTGACATTAGTTTGTACAGAGACGATGGACTTATGGTTATTAGAAACTCAACTAACTTCAAAATAGATAAAATTATAAAGGTTTTATATAAAGAATTTAAAAGCATGGGCTTAAAAATTACGGTTCGCACTAAATTAAAAAAAAAGTGAACTTCCTGGATATAACATTAGATTTAAATAAAAATACAGACACACCTTATAATAAACCCAACACCAATCCTTTATATATACACACTAAATCAAATCAACCTCATCTATAATTAAACATATACCGTTATCTATCAGTAAAAGAATTAGTACAAATTCAGCAAATGACAATATTTTCGATGAGCATATCAATTCCTATAATAAAGCTCTAAAAGAGAGTGGCTAGAAAAACCCAAAAGTAACTTATATAAAAAATGAAAATGGAAAGCATAGAAAAAACAGATGTAGAAAAATAATTTGGTATACACCCCCATACAACCAAATGGTAAAGAACAAATTAGGACAAAAATTCCTCGCATTGATAGTCAAGCATTTTCCTAGTGAAAGTAAACTAAGTACTATTTTCAATAAAAACACACTAAAATTGGGTTACAGCTGTACGGAAAACTTAGAAAAAAGTACTAAGAAACATAATGCTAATATCTTAAATAAACACTTATACCAAAACCAAAAAAATTTAGACAATGGAAAAATAAAAACTGATGAAAATAAACAAAAATTATGTAACTGTAGAAAACCTCATAAATTCCCTCTACAAAATAAATGTCGCACGGAATCATTAGTATACCAATACAATATCTCTTCGATTGAAAATCCTGAAAACATAAAAATATAGATTGCACTAGCCATCAGTTCAAAAAAAGATTCAACCAACATCAGAGTTCATTTAGGATAAATAAATATAAAAATCAAACATCACTCTCGAAGTACTTCTGGCACCTAAAAGAATCAAATAAAACACCTACAGTAAAATGGAAGTTAATAAGAAAAGCTAGAATATGTAGGTCATTAAATGACCCATCTACTATAAGAAACTATATATTACTAAGTTTTTAAAAAATAAAAATTTACTGAATCATAGAAATGAAATAGCTATTTTTGCCGTCATTATCAAAAATTTTCCTTTCATAATATTTAATAATAGAAATAAATTTAAAAATTGTGACCAGGTAATATACATACTTATATTGAACGTGAAAAAATAATTTTATATACTGTAAGTACTTCTATTACATTTACTTGTTTTTTTGTTTTTTTTTTAAATAGTCTATTAAAATAACAGTGAAAATATTTTAAAGTTATATTTAAAATTGTAGTTAAAACGAATTCTAACCTAAACATCTTTTAAAATTGTAGTTAAATAAAACGTATTCTAACCTAAACACCTCTCTCAAAGTACTACCGGAACTTAAATGAATCCAATAAAACACCTACAGAAAAATGAAATTATGATGAAAAGTTAGATGATGTAGGTCATTGAATGACCCATTTCTTTTGTACATACATGTAAAACTATATATTACTAAGTTTATAAAAAAAATAAAGTTTACTAAATCAGAGAAATAATTAGCTATTTTTGCCGTAATTGTCATAAATTTTTACTTAACTAATATTTAAATATAAAATTCTAAAAATCGTACTATACATACTTATACTTGATATGGAAAAATAATTTTACTTACTGTAAGTAATTCTAAGACATTTACTTCTTTTAAAAAGAAATATAGTCTATTAAAACTAAAAGTGAAAATATTTTAAAGTTGTATTTAAAATTGTAGTTAAATAAAACGAATTCTAACCTAAACATCTTTTAAAATTGTTATTAAATAAAACGTATTCTAACCTAAAGACCTCTCTCTAAGTACTACAAGCACTTAAAAAAATCCAATAAAACACCTACAGTAAAATGAAATTAATATGAAAAGCTAGATGTAAGCCATTGAATGACCCATGTCCTTTGTACTTACATGAGAAACAATATATTACTAGGTTTATATAAAAAATAAAAGTTTACTAAATCAGTGAAACTAATTAGCTATTTTTGCCGTCATTGTCATAAATTTTATTAAAATAATATTTAAATATGAAATAAAAAAATTGTTACCTAATAATATACATACTTATACTTGATGTGAAATAATTCTACATACTGTAAGGGATTCTAATACATTTACTTGTTCTTAAAAGAAATATAGTATATTAAAAATTAAAAGTGAAAATATTTTTCAAATCGTAGTTAAATAAAACGTATTCTAACCTAAACACCCACCAAAAAAATCTTTAAATATACAAATAGAAACAAATGCCGTGAGAATTTTTGCCGTTAACAATAAAATTTTAAAAAAATCCAGACGACATGCATTTAACGGATGTCAGATTTCATTAAAAAATACATCCCTACCCCTACCAAAACGTAACTAATAACTGATACATCAAAATACAGAGATAATGAACACGTAAGGTTTCTTCCACCAGCGTTTTGGGGTTGACTCCTTTTTGCTGCCACCAGCCTGTGTCCCGGTCGATCTGGTCGTTTCCGGTTCGATACCAGATTTGTTGTTCTCAGCTCGCCTCCAACGCTTGGTCACCAAAGTAACTGCTTTGATGTCAAGTCTAACCTACCCACATTGTGACTTTGATCTTAAGTAGACGAAATCAATCAGGCATCGGGCCGTAGTGCAAACTGAATCCGGGGTAAAGGTGATACCGCACAAGCGTAAGTAAAAGAAAAATAATAAAACAAACTCACGAGGTTCAAATATGTTGAAAAATAACAATTTATCTGTTGAACACAGGAGTGTGTTTCTCTCCCGGACCGAATCTATGGATTCGTGACACTTTTTGCGTTTCTTAAGCGAGTTATGGTATCTTAAGTCGTTCGTCAATAAAAACTTGCTTTCGGTAGGAAGACTAAGTCAAAAAGGACGTAGAAATCTTTCGGTCAGCTTCTGAGACAACACTGACTCTGTAACTCCGATCATGTCTGGCACTCTCTGCCGAAACTCGCTTCAGCTGCCTCGAGACGTATGTTTATATGGACACCGACCAACTCCGAGATGGGGGCCTGTCTTGGTTTGGGTTCTTTGACAATTCTTATTTCTCAACAAGAATGTTCTTTGTTCTTAGGCCAGGATATTAATTACTTCTCATTTC